GAGTAGAACAGTGGGTGAGCGTTGTCACTTTAGGACAGGAAGAGTGTTACTGACAGGATAAGTAAAAAAAAAAAAAAAAAAGGGAAGAAGCCTGAAAAAGAAAGGTACAGCCACCACATCTAAAGCAGGGTATACAGGTATACACGTTCAGTGTTTCTTCATTCAACCAGCGATGTGCGATGCAGGATCTCTCCAGCTGAGCTGTTGTATTCTGACAGCAGGGACTAGATCCCCCCTCCCCCCATCAGAATACACAGATCAATGCTTGCAGCCCTGGACTGCAAGATTTGACCGAATGCTTGTTTTCCAGCAAGACCGTTCGACAGAAGCTGGTCGCTAGACTGGCTTTTGTTGAACAGACAGCAGTACACATGTACCAAACATCAGCTGGTTCCTTCTGATCCAGCTGACATTTGTACTGGCCTTTAGGACTTGTAGTCTGTAGTACATTATATTTTTGTTTTTGGGTTTAGACACACTTTTAGCTCTTCTTGCTGGCCATGTATTAGGCCTCTTGACAGGTGGGCTTTAACACCCAGAGGCTGCATATATGTGTCCCTGCGCTCCTCCCAGCACAGTTACTGGCAGGTACCGAAACACTCCAGATGCTTACTTGCGATTGGAAGCTTTCTGATCATGTGACTGCTGTGGTATCTAATCCCAGCAGTCACATGATCAGAATGCCTGTCTTTGCCTCCTGGCATTTAGAACATCTTAAAGGGCTGGGAGGCAGCTTTGGGAAGTGTTGAGCTACCATGTACCAGAAATGTATTGCTTACAATTGTGCAGTTACCTACAGGCCCCATGCACAATGAACGTTTATATCTGGTGCACAGAACTACAGCATTGGTGCGGGGTGATCGTGCTGCCAGCAGCCTGTAAAACTCTATCAGAGGCTGACAGCCTCTATCAGTAAAACTCTATCAGTGGCTGGATTGTGCCCCTGGTGATACTAACGTTTGGGTCAATATGTGCCCAGGGACAAATGCCTGGAACATAGCAGGAAAGAAAGCCAAAGAAAGTAAGCCAATGCACCTACCTCATTTAAGAGTGCATTATATATTATTGTATCATGCACTATACAGTATATTACATAAGCTGCAATATATTACATTTTTGTTTTGGAGTTTAATACCACTTTAATCATCATGGTGTTATTAGTCTCATCAAGTCATTTTATTGATCAGCTATTGTCTGATTGCATATCATAATGAAAGTACTTTTCATGGTACCTGAGATATACATGAAAGCATTTAGTTCAAAGGACAGCAGCAGGAAAAGGGCAAAGGTTTATTACATTGTGTAAAGGGCATGTACCAAGTAAATGAAAGAGCCAGGGCCTGCTTCAAGTTTTATTCATCAGATGCTTCCGGAGGCTTCATTTCCTTGACTTTGCAGACTTATCCCTCTTGTTCACATCCTGCTGTATAAAAGGATGTTTTCATCTCTTCATTCCACAATATATGACCATGCTAGCGGGCTGTGATTAGTGGAAGCCATACAGAAAGCACAGGAGGCACATTTATGAAGGGATCCAGTGTTGTATTAGATCACGGGTGACAAACTGGCTGCCCCCCAGCTGTTGCCAAACTACATGTCCCATAAGGCATTTCAAGATTGACAGTTACAAGCATGACTCCCAAAAGCAGAGGCATGATGGGACTTGTAGTTCTGCAACAGCTGGAGGGCTACCAGTTTGACACCCCTGTATTAGATATTGCCTTTAACCATAATTAACCGCTTCTCGACTGCCCTATAGCAGAAATACTGCTACAGGGCGGCATGGGTGCGCAAAATCACGTATGTATACGTGATTTTGTATTTCTGGGTAGGGGGGCATGCGCGCCCTACCTGTGCCGCCATTTGCAGCCGCAGCTGTCAATTACCGGGTCCCGCCTGGTGATCACTCGCCGGTGCCGGTGATTTCCAAGGATCTCCGAAGGGGAGCAGAACTGTTTTGTTTACTAACAGTTCTCCCTGTCAGCTCGGACACACTGCTTTGGATGGCTGTGCACAGAGTAGTGTACTTACAGTGAAGCACCAACACACCACCTCACAGTAAAACACTCCCTGCACACAGTTAACCCTTTGATTGCCCTCATGTTAACCTCTTCCTACCCAGTGCCATTAGTATAGTGTCAGTGCTTTTTTTAGCACTGATCACTGTATAGGTGTCACTGGGGATGTCAATGACCCCAAGTCAGTTCCCCTCAGTGTCAGAATGCCAATCGCAGTCCCACTATAAGTCGCTTATTGCCTCTATTACTAGTAAAAATAAAAAAAATTCCAGTATATATACCGCCAGTTGTAAACGCTATAACTTTCATGTAAACCAATTAATTTACATGTATTGGGATTTTTTTTTTTTTTAGCAAAGACATGTAGCAGAATGCAAAGACATATAGCAGGTAATGACAATCAGTGCCATTAAAGTAGAACTATAGGCAAAACTGGAAAGTGTAGGAGAGGGTTATAAGCCGCCTATTTTTTTTTTTCATTTGTTGCCATCTGTGTTCTATTCGGGAGATTTCCCTTCACTTCCTGTCCCATAGCCAAACAGGAAGTGATAGGAAATCCATGAAAATTACTGGAATCCCTTGGGGACCCCTAGTTCACCAGGACTAGCATCCCCATTGGATGATTTCCCCCTCTATTACTTTTCTGGGGACAACAAAAACTTTCAATGAAATTAGAGAGGGGAATCTCCTTAACGGGGGCACATACAGCAATAAAAACCTGACAGGGGTCCTAATCACTCTCTACTCTATCCAAACCAAAAAAAAAAATGTTTTGCCTTTAGTTGTACTTTAATGTAGTATGAAGCAGCAGTTAAAGAAAAGCAGAAAATTAGGGTTCATATCTAAAATGTATTTAAAGCTGAAATTGAATCTGGTTATAATTTGCCTTCTAATGTCCCCCCCCCCATTAACATGCTAATGACATTATTAAATAAAACCTTTCCATTTTCATTACATGCCTTATTTTACACTGTGTGGTATCATGACTGAGTCTCTGTTCTTCTCTATGCAGTGCAGACAGATCATGGTCAGGGTGTTAAATATAGCTTCTTGAAAACATCAGAGAACCCTTCCTTAGTACTCTTCTTAGGAGTCCTTGATGCAAGCAGTGGGGTGGCTGTTAAAAGAAAGAGTTACGCAAATATCAAAATGCCTTAATGGGTGGATGTCAGTCTTGAGTTGTAGGTGTTCCCAGGTATGCTGTATTTGCATGCAGGCTGCCCTAGGTAATGCCTTCATATAATGTTGAGTCTGCCTGATTAACAGAACTGAAATCCAACAAATGAAAGAGGTGGCCCAAGAATAAGGCTGCGGAGGAAAGATTTAGATGATGCTGGATGTCTTGCAGCCAGGAATTGAGGAGAGCTTTATCTGACTTGGTACAGTTTCTAATGTAGACTGTGAGAAGCTTGGTTCACACTACTGCGACCTGAAAGTTGTGCGACTTACGGAGTGACTTTGCCAAGCAACTTCTTGCGACTTGATGCAACTTGAGCATTACTTTGATGCAAATGTGGGATCCAAATCACATCAATAGAGATGAGGATCCGACTTGGAGGTGACTTCTAATAAAGTCTATGGGCACAAGTTGGATAGAAGTCGCCTTGAAGTAGCACAGGAACCTTTTCTAAAGTCGGAGTGACTTCAGTAGTACTAATTAGGACAGCTCTCATTGACTAACATGGGAGCTCACAAGTCGCATCCCAAATTGTGGCAGTGTGACCCGAGCCTTATGAATGAAGTCCATTTTATTGAATGTAGTGCATTGCATCCTTTATGTCAGCACAGATGGTTTTTCTTGAGTGGTGGTCGTTTGTCTTCCAAATAGCTCACATGGTATGAATGCAGTACAAGACCTATCACATGATGTGTCATCACATACTATGTTGACTATTGACACTTTCATTATTATTTGCTTTTGGGAAATCCCAGGCATGTATGCTGTGTTTGTTTACAGATGTTCTGTGTGCTTCATGCAGCTTGTTCTAAAACTATTTCGTGAAATCTCTGTGAGGGCCCATTCACACTAGAATGCAGTCCCGGAAACCCTCATTTCTCACAAGATGTCCAAAATGTACTGCACTTGCAATCTGCAGCAGGTGTCAGTGCAGTTCTAACGACTCCCCAAACTCAGGTCGCAAATGCTGTGCGTTTGCCTGCACCATGTCACATGGTACAGGAGTACCATGCAATCCAGTATGTGCTGTACGTTTTTAGCGCATGCACTTCTACGGATGCACCCAAATTTCAGTCGCCGAAATGTTTTGGCCAAGAAACACCCCACCGGCGCCTGGTGGTTCTCAGCCTTACCTGAGATATGAAAATAAGCACCGATACAGGTGCTGAAAATAACCGCACCCCTCACTGCCCACCCGCCGCTTGCCGCCATCCACCGCCGCCTGGTGGTTCTCAGCCTGACCTGAGAAACAATCTGGGCATAGAGATCAGTGAAGGAAAGGTGGCCTCCACTCATCTCTATGCCCTTGGAGGACCGTAGCGACGTCACTTCTGGTTCCAGAGCCTTGTAAACAAGGCCTTTTTTTTTAAAGCACTAAATTAATGCTTTTTTGATCTGATGCTTTACATTGTAGAGGAGAGATGTGCGGTCTTATTGACCCCATATCTCTCTATAAAGAGGACCTGTCACTTCTTATTTCTATCACAAGGGATGCATGCATTTATTGTGATAGGAATAAAGGTGAATAAAAAATTTTTTTTAGCCGCTTTTCTGCCGCCCTATAGCAGAAATACTGCTGCAGGGCTGCGCAAAATCAAGTATAGGAATAAAAGTGATTACATTTTTTTTTAACCGCTTTCTCGCCGCCCTACAGCAGAAATACTGTTACAGGGCGGCAGGGCTGCACAAAATCACGTATAGGAATAAAGGTGATTACATTTTTTTTTAACCACTTTCCTGCCACCCTATAGCAGAAATACTGCTACAGGGTGGCAGGGCTGCACAAAATCACGTATATATACGTGATTTTGCATTTCCAGGTAGGCTTTAGCTGTCGATCACTGGGTCCTGGCTGGTAATTCCCCGCCAGCACACGGCAATCGCTGAGACTAACTCTCCCCTGTCAGCTACAGCACACTGCTTTGTATGGCTCTTCATAGCAGAGCCATACAAAGCAGTGTGCTTACAGTGTAAAGCACACACACAGCGAGAGAGCACACAGTTAACCCTTTGATCGCCCCAGATGTTAACCCCTTTCTGCCCAGTGTCATTAGTACAGTATTAGTGCTTTTTATTAGCACTGATCACTGTATTAGTGTCACTGGTGATGTCAGTGACAGTTAGTCAGTTCTCCACAGTGTCAGAATGTTTGCCGCAGTCCCACAATAAGTCGCTGTTCGCCACCATTACTAGTATAAAAACTGGTGCAGGGATGCATGCAACACTTGTACATCCCTGTGGTGGGAAAACACGGGCCTGCACAGGGCCCACAGTAAAGTGTCCCATATGATTGAGCCCTAAATGGTGTCTCACAGGCAATTCCACAACAGATTCATTTACACCTTACAGGCATAAATCTGTGGCAAGTTGCACAAATGGCAGACAGATTGCTCTTTTATAAATTTCGGGGATTGTGTTTTAGTTTATAAAGAATGATAACATTCTCAATGGCAGTAAGTTTTGTATACATAGATAAACTGAGGATTTCTTTGCATGTAGTCCTTTTTATCAGACTAGGCCTCATACATAGTAGCAGCTTGGCCTGTTTTCCTCACAGAAGGAATGTTATGGGATAGACAGTAACCTTGGTTCTCATGTGAAGAGACAACCTTGGAACGTTCTCATCAGCCAAATTCTACAAATGAATTGGCCTGAATGTAGTTTTCTCTTCACATCAGTTCTGCTTAATAAAATGTGATCCTTATCCTTGTCGGGTCCTAGGTACACTTGTTTCTGATTTATGAGCTGTTAAGATCACAACGGATTCTACAAATGGCCTCTGGTTTTGTCGAGCAGTTCCCTGTCTAGTAATTCTTTATTCCCATTCTTTGAAAAGGAGATTTTGTCACTTAGGCCTAGCATCTGCTTAGCCTTTTGCTACTCAGACTGGTACTGGTGTTGAGAACAGATGGGTGTCAGTAGAAGAAAAACGCAGCTGCACTTGTGGAGAAACCCAGCAGGCCGCCACAAGCTGCAACTTTTGTTCTGAGGAGGATTATTAAAAAAAAAAAAAAGAGGAGAGAAACCTTTCTAATTAAACGTATGCAGTCGGAGGAGTCAAAGCAAAGGCTAATACTATAGGAGAGAAAAAAAAGCATCTTTTGTGAAAAGGCTGGTGATGGCTTGCCTTAAAGGGACTAATTTTGATCAAAGGTGAGCCATTGGACCTGGTCATGAGGTGAGGTCAGCAGCTAATATCTTTTACTCTCAGGTGAAGGGGATAAAAGCTGTTGAAAGGAAATAAAAAGAACGCAAAGAAAACTAAAGGAATAACACTTTACTGGTGCATTCAGTCAGGTTTCTTCATTTAAGTGAAACAAAGGCAATATTCATATGGGGGGTCAGTGGTGCATAGTTTGCTGTATTCTGAGGCAGCTAAATATTCCTCTGGACACAGCGATACCCTGTGCTATGGCTGCACACAAACTGGTCAATTAGCTGCATCCAGTTTATGTGTCCAGAAATCCGCAGAAATGCCGACCCCGGACGCACGCAGTCTGCAACCAGGGTTGGACGAAGCTCTGTCCACATTCAGCCGCTCAGACGAGCCATTATATGGAAATGGCACAGGTGCCATCGGCAGGCAGCATTAGAACCGTTGGCGAGGGCCTACAGATTCTCATTGGTGGCCGCCTCAGTCCAGCCATGTGAAGGTAGATTCATTGTTTGATTGTTTGCTTTGGGCTACTGCTGTATGTTTTTCAGTTATATTTGCACCAACCCTGAAGTGGAGCTCCACCCAAAATCTGAAGTTCCGCTTTAAGCCTTTGTCATCCACTCCCCATTAAGGATTGGCACCTTTGGGGAGCAAGGGGGGAGCGGGTACCTGAATTTGACAGGTACCCGCTCCCACTTCCGCTGCCATCGCCTAAGGCGATCAGAAGTGGATGTTCTCCTCACTCCACTCCCTCCCTGTAGTCTTCTGGGGCACGTGCAAGGTCCCAGAAGACTACGGGGCCATTCACAAAGCGCAGCACTTCTCGCTCATGCGTAGTGGGAACCCGGCTGTGAAGCTGCAAGCTGTCACAGCCGGGTGCCCACACTGAAGATGCCAGCAACAGGGGGAGAGAAGACGGCTGGTGAAACCAGCGGTGGTGAGGACACCGCTGGACTGAGGGACAGGTACGTGGCTGCATTATAAAAGTCAGCAGCTACAGTTTTTGTTGCTGCTGGCTTTTTTTTTTTTTTTTTTTCAGCTGGAACTCCACTTTCAGGTCCAGTTCACACTACAAAAATGCACTCCAGATGCATTCCGGATACGTTGTTGTTTACAGTTCATACCACACTCCGTTCCTGTGCAGTTTTGATGCAGTTTGCTATGTTCCAGTATGGTTCTGTGCAAAAAAAAATGCAGCATGTTCTACTTTTTTTTCTGCACCAGAAACTTACTGGTACTGACTGCACTAGTGTGAACCAGGGCCATTGGAATACATGGAAAACATTGGTATGCATCTAGTGTGAACTACCCCTAAGGGTTAGATGCAGTTCAGTGTACTAGCTAAAACAAAATGCTAATAGCCTAAACTAGTGTGCATTGACACATAGGATAACACTATTAAGCTTCTAGGAGCAGAAAAAAATGCTAATAACAGCTTCTAGGAGCATAACAAAATGCTAGAGTGCATGAGTCTAAAAGCCGGCACAAAAATGCTACTAACAGCTTTTTTCGTAGCATTTTTTGAGCTTATAAAAAATGCTAGTGTGTATGGAGTGTTAGGAGCAGAAAAAATATTGTTTTGTAGCATTTTTGGGGAGAGTTTTCCCAGCAGAAAACAATGCAGAATGCTCCTAAACACTACTAAATCGCTACAAGCCAACAACACAAAAAACACTGCTATCAGCATTATTCATCCAGCGTTTTTTAAGGTTACAGAAACCCGCTAGTGTAATGGAGCCTGTTAGTGTTATCCTATGTTTCCATGCACACTGTTTTATGCTAGAAGCATTTATAAAGTTTCAGCATTTAGGAGCAGAAAAAAAAATTGTTTATGAAAAGTTTTTGGGAGTGAAAAACGCTGAATGCTCCTAAATGCTTCTAAACGCTACTAATTTGCTCCTGACACCCCTAAAATGCTCCTAACAGCTTTTTCAAGTTTTTTTTTTTCATGTGCTGTAAACGCTCCTAATTGCTTCTAAACGTTTCTTTGTTTTTCATCCACTGTTTTTAGAGCTTATAAAAAACGCTAGTGTGCATAGAGCCTTAATGTGTTATCTCAATGAGTCCTTTTAGCCCTCCTAGTTCTTGCCAAGGACTACAGAATAACTATTCCCAATGGTGTGGAGATAGGGAGAGGGGAGAGATGCAGTAGATTACAATAGGGCAGGGCTGACACCATTTCTTGTGATTTCAGTCCAAAAAAATGAATGTGTTATCCCGCAACAGGAAATTAGAAGCTGAGCACATTTCTGGCAAATCAACAAGTCATTTTCTGTACTTTAGAGGGATAAAACATGTGTGAATGTGGATGTATTGTAGAGATGTACTGCATATGTTTTTTTCTTTTATTTTATCTTGACATACGCTTTTGTAAACATAATCCACTGTATATTTTATCTGTTTTATGGCTTAAATCACATCTTTCTTTATTCCATTTTGTCAGCTTTGTCCTGCTGATACGACTGGGTTTGTTGTAGTGTTTGAAGAGATTAGCTATTCTTTTAAGGATTTAACATTCCGGGATAATAAAAGGAATAAATTAGTGGGGGATGGTGTTGGGGAGTGGGGGCTGGTAAGGTGATGACCATGATGAGCTCTTCAATGGCAGCATCCAGCTAAATAAAAATGCAGTTATTCAGTTATGGGCTCAAAGCTAGTAACAACACCAGCATGAAAAGTTTCTGTTATGAAGCAGAAAATAATTTTTTTGACTAGCCAATTAAAAATCTCCAGAATACGTAATAAATACATTTTGTAATAAAAATGCTGTTTATTTAGTAATTACTTGACACTGTGATATCTTCAACAATGATGCCGATTCCAACAAATTGGATCAAGAGTGCCCAAAAAGGCATGAAATATTTAAAGATACACATCCTGTTCTTTATTCCTGTTTTTTTTTTTATCCCAAACAGAACGACCCTATGGGCATACTCCAATTTCTTACCTCCTCAGCAGCCCTCTCTAGGTTCTCACTACCCATGCTTGGTGACCGATGGGGGAAGCACTAAAGATGTGATCCTATGCTAGTAGCCCAAAGATGGGTGAGATAGCACATCCTAGAGGAGATGTGTGTGATTGTTCCCAAGCAGTATGACATTAGAACAAGAGGAAGCATCTGGAACATCTCTGGCCAAGCTGGTTCCTTAGTTTGGTAGTGTTGGCCATTCTTTTCACTCCAAATTATTGGTCCTCACCTGCTCTAGGCAAAGTGGGGGCATGGAATCAGCATAGTAATCAATTACTGGGCCAAGAGGCTGTGCTTCATCTGTGTTGATGTGCAGAGACTTTATTGTGGAGAAGAGCTTGCAATGGACTGATAGTGCTAGACTGTGCTGCTGGCAATGTTTTGTAAGTAATGTATTCAGAAAATCATCTTTGTGTACCTGTCTGTGTCCACTCTTGCCGTGGTGTCTGTGTACCGTAGACCAGCCTTTCTCAACCAGTGTGCCTAGGCACCCTGGGGTGCCTTGAGATTTCTTCAGGGGTGCCTTGGCCAAATGTCTAAAAATTGCCCAAACCTTGTATACAAGCCAATGGGTGGAACAAATCTGCCTTTTAGTTCCACAAAGCCACTGGTTTTCATTGTGCACCATTACGACCTTCTAGCCACCAGCGTCCTGACAACCAATGACATCATCAGTTGATAAGGAGGATGTCAGCTACTTGCACAGCTAGTTTGACCCCTTGAAAACTGAGGGAGAAGAGAACACTAGAATCTAATCAGTACCAGTGTGCAAAAGTGTATATACTTTGGAAGAATAAATCCCCTGTAATGTTGGGTGTCCTACATGTGTGGATGTTGCTGCGTTATATAAAACCATTAGAATAGTTTTTCACATTTTAGAATGGGCAGTCCTTTTAAAATTATGGACAGTCTAGAGGCACCCCATTTTAGAATGGACTGCCTCAAGACTGTCCATAATTTTAAATGGTGCCTCAGGACTGTCCATAATTTTAAAGGGTGCCTCAGGACTGTCCATAATTTTAAAGGGTGCCTCAGGACTGTCCA